TTGAACCACCAGCCTTCTGGTTAGCAGTCAAGTGCCTTAGGCACTATGCTACCAGTGCTCAGAGTTAATGTTTTAAAATGTGCAGGTCTAGGTTTTATAAGAAATTTAGTTCTTCTTTACATTTGTTATGTGGTTTTTGTATTTAATGGTCTTTGGAGAAAAAAAAACTATTATATTTTGGTTCAAGATAACACTTTCTGTTTTTTGAAATAAGTCTGTGGCATAAAGTCAAACTATTCTAAGACAATATAGAGTGTACTTAAACAATAACAAGTCAGGCTGGGACCACAAGCTCTGTGCCCAGGGAGCAAAGGAGTAAGATGGTTCCTTGAGCAGTCTTGAAGTACCTATGGTTGACCACTGTGAAGTCCCTTACCTCAGCAGGGCCTTGGCACTGGTACACCGGATGTCGTAGGACACAGAATACATCTCATACATGGTGGCCTTCACATTGAGGCAGCCAATGAAGTCCTTGGGGTTCAATTTGTATAAGTCGAAGGTGATCCTTGCTATTCCCGATTTCTTTGGCTGCTGGTAACCTGGAGCATACCTACTACCCTATTGTAATGAAGGTATAAACAGACATTAGGAGTGTTCCTAACTATGATATTTACATATGATCATTCTGGTTTTATGTTAGTTTCAGACTAAGCTGCTTATTGTTTGAGTAATGTTTTTAGCAGAAGAGTATGCTTACAGTACTCTGATATCCAAAAGGTCCCAGGGTGGTGCAGATAGTTTGTGCTCAGCTACTAAGTGAAAGGTTGGTGGTTTGAATCAACTTGGTGGTGCTATGAAAGAAAGGTCTGGTGATCTGCTTCCATATGGATTACAGCAAAGAAAACCTTTTGGAGCAGTCCCATTCAGTAACATATGAAGTTGCAATGAGTCTTAATCAACTAAACTAAGTAATGGGATATCTATCCCTTTATGCTTTCAGTTTAGTGACTCAGGATGAGTCCGTTCTGGCTTTGGGCCTAGAGTTTAGGGTAACACTGTGTGGTGAGTGTTGTGCTATAGATACATTGTGTTAAGACTCACTCTCCTTGGTAACTTGCAGCTACAATGTTACCTGAGGGACATTGATGATCTCATTTCATGACTATAGCACAGTAACGGCATCTGAGAAGCGATTTCCACTGTCCAAGAAGAACTAGGGAAAAAGTACCAGAATCACATGGCTAAAGTAAAAGGTAGAATTAAAATTTGCCCAGTGGTGTTCCAAACTAAAGTATTTTATTTTCTAGTAACTGCCCTGGAAGGAGCTCTGGTGGTGTAGTGAATAAGGCATTTAGCTGCTAACCAGAAGATCAGCAGTTTGAACTCAGCAGCTGCTCTGTGGAAGGAAGATAGGGTGATCTATTTCCATAAAGATTTACAGCCTTGGTAACCCAATGGGGGTTGCTATAAGTTGGAATTGACTCAATGGCAGTGAGTTTTTTTTTGCCCTGGAAGGAAGCTGACTTTTTGGGAACATTGAATGCCATTTACTTACAATATCTGCTCTTACTCTTCTGAAACATCAGCTGACCTTTAAGATTGGGAGGGGTAAGTTAGAGATGTCTAAAAATCCCTAGGTTTATAAATAACACTATGACTCAATCTTTCCCACAAAAAAACTTTATTAAAAAAAAAAAGAAACAACCCAATAATAATAAGAGAACAAAGCTCTTCCAAAGTGCAGGAGTTGCTCTTCCTTAGGGGTTTTCTCCACACATCCATCTTACAGTATAAAGGACTCAATTTTTGACAATTAATTGACTTACTACATCCCAAGAATCTCTGAGGTTAGAAACAGTTATTACCATGAAAGTTAAATTCATTGTTGTTGTTATGTGCCATCGAGTCAGACCCGACTCATAGGGACCCCTCCTTGGGTTTTCGAGGCAGTATCACTACAGAAGTAGATTGCCCCATCTTCTTTCTGAGGAGTGGCTGGTGGGTTTGAACCGCCAGCCTTCTGGTCAGCAGTCAAATGCCTTAGGCACTATGCTACCAGAGCTCAGCAACAATAATCTAATATAGTCTAATTTAAAGCATAAGTTCTCTTAAAAGAATACAAGGCCTTTTCATTGTATCCACTCTTCTTGATTCTCATATTCCTACCACAAAGATCATAAACAACTATAGGTTTAAATGTCTAATGTGTCCTTCCTGGGCCAGAGGCCCAATGTCTAATGTACACGAGGCTCTGAAGTCCATCATTTAGGAAAAAAATATTTTTAAAAGTTAAGATGACCAACACCTATGAGAAAGAGTTTGGTGGTTTCTCAAAATATCAAACTTAGAATTACCATGTTACCCAGCAACTCCACTCCCAGGTATAGTTCCAAAAGAACTGAAAATAAGAACTCAAACAGATACTTGTACCCCAATATTCACAGCAGTAACTTACTTTTTTTACAGTAAGTAAACAGTGGAAAAAACCCAAGTTTCCATTAACAGATGAATGGATAAATAATATATGGTATGAAAAACTGTGCTCTGTAAACTTGCACCTAAAGCACAATAAACATAAATAAATAAAATAAAATGACTCATCTGAGTCAAGGGGACTCCAAGTGTCCACTCAAACCAAAACCAAATTAATTGCTGTTGAGTAGACTCGAACTCATGGTGACCCCATGTGTGTCTTTAGAACTGTGCTCCATAGAGTTTTCAATGGCCAATTTTTCATAAACAGATCTTCAAGCCTTTCTTTCAAGGTGACTCTTGGTGGGCCTGAATCTCCAACCTTCCAGTTAGCAGCCCAGCACATTAACTGGCCAGGTGGAGGTGGGCCAGGCACCATGCCAGGTCCTTTACATACTTCATCATCTCCTTTCATCTTCACATCCACCTACAATATTGGGACAATCACCCCATTTTGCAGAAGGAGAAAACTGAAGCCCTAAGAGTTTACCTCAGGTCATGCAGTTGATAAGCACCAGATTCTAGACTTGAAGCTACATCTGGGTCCATGTTTTTCCCACTCCACAGAGCTGCCTATTCTATGGTTTAGGGGAGGGGAACATCTCCTCATTTTTCTCTGGGGACCCCCTTCTGAGCTAGGAGGTGCATGAGCAGAAGCACTGCCTGCCCAGCTCCCATAAGCTCTGTCCTAGAGGGGGAAAAAAATAAAAAGTAACATGTGGTATGCCCATAAAATGGAATGTTATTCTGCTATAAAAAGAATGAAGTTCTGATATATGCTACAACATGGATGAACCTTGAAAGCATTATGCTAAATAAAATAAGTCAGATATGAAAGGACAAATATTGGATGATTACATTTATATAAGGTATCTGGAATAGGGATGACCAAAGCATGAGAGGAAATGTCATGTCATTCTTGCTTCTAAGGAGCATTATAGCTGTATTTCATCCAATACAGATTTGTTTGTTCTTCGGGTAGTCCGTGGTATATTTTCGTCATGTTGTCAGGAGGGACCAGTCTCTGGAGAAGAATGTCATGTTTGATAAAGTAGATGGTCAGTGAAAGAGAGGAAGACCATCAATGAGATGGACTGACACAAGGGCTGCAGCAATGGGCTCAAGCATAGCAACGATTATTAGGATGACTCCGGACTGGGCAATGTTTCTTTCTGTTGTACAGAGGATTGCTACAAGTCAGAACTGACTTAAGGGCACCTAACAACAACAAAAACAGAATAGGGATATTTATAGAGGTAGAAAGTAGAATAGACATTTTGAGGGCCTGAGGGGAAAGGAAAATGGGCCATCATAGCTTAATGGATACAGTTTCTGTTTGGCATGACGACAAAGTCCTAGAAATAGATAGTGGTATTGGTTATACAACATTGTGAATGCCACTGAACTGTATACTTAGAAATGATTAAAATGGCAAATTTTATGTTATAAATGTTTTACCACAATAAAAAATAAAGATAAAAGAAAAAAGTTAAGATGACAAGACTCCAAAAGGGTTTTCACCTATAAGCCTGCCTTGTAAATTCTTTTTCATTGCCTTATGCTTCTTCCTGACCTTTGAATGTTCATCTTACTTTCCCTAAGTGTCTTCATTAAGTCTTGGTCTTAAATAAAGGCCAAGATGCCCTCACAAAATTAATCCACTCATAACTTAGCATCTGTGCATGTGGATTTCTGTATTCCAAAGAAGGTTGAAGTGGAAGGAAATGATTCTGCTCCTATCCTCCTTTTCCAACTCTCTCAAGAGGCACTTCCTTGCAGGTTTTTAGAGTTTAGAATGAAGAAGGGAGACATCTGGTGGTTACTTGGTTGAAATTCTTATCCAAGTCAAATAGAATGGGCCTCACTGGTCAAAGTGCCTGCCATTTCCATCCTAAAAGGAGTAAGGCTGAAAAGTGTAAAACAGAGAAGTCTCTCTAAACAAGTTTTCCTTTGCTGTCCAGTTAGGAAGTGTGTACCTTTAAGAGGTTCTTCTGGCAAGCCTAGAAACCTCAACTTAAATCTCAACTAGGCTGGTTATCAGACTGAGAAGACCAGTCATATACCACAGCATTGTCTTTCTCAATCATATCTTATTAAAACCCTGCACTTCAGCTAAGTATCTTGGTGGCCCACTCCTCTCAGAGGAGCTTATACATATTGCATATCAATCAACTCCAAACTGAGGTCTTTGTTTAGAGAGTTTCATTTATAAAAACAAACAAATAAAAACATCCTTCCCTCTAAATTAGTTTTTCTATTGCTATTGTAACAAATTACCACAAAGTTAATGGCCTAAAGCAACATTATTCTCTTACAGTTCTGGAGACCAGAAGTCCTAAACAGGTCTCCCTGGCTCACAATCCTTCCTCTCTTACCCTGCTACCTCTGTACTATGGACCCTTGTGATTACATTGGACTCACTTGGCTAATCCAGGATAATCTCCGTATCTCGAGGTCCTCAACTTAATCACATCTGCAAAGCATGTGAGGTGATATATCCACAGGTTCTGTAGAGGCCATTATTCAGCCAGCCACACCTTCCTTAAACAAAGACTGTCTTATTAAAAATTCATCTAATTTACTCCACTGGGACTGTCCATAAGCATGGTCTCATCTACTTCAAAAATAGAATTTTATTTTAAATTTTGCACTTTTTATAATTGATCTGTAGTTTTCTTTAATACTAGTTAGAAAAATGATGACATATTTGATATGTAGAGGAATATACATACAACATATATAAAAAGAAGGAATAATAATAAGATATAGGTGTACCCACTACTCTACAGAAAACAAAACATTACCAGTCCTTAGAGGCCCATGTGCATCTCTGAAATTTCATCTTGCATGTCCTCTCAAGAGATGACAGTATATAATGTATTCCGTTACTCTGTTTTTAGCAAACATGTATTTCAAACATCATATGACTAATTTTGCATATTTAAAAATTATATATAAATGGTTAATGCAGAAGTTCTCAAAGTATAATTTGGAGCCACATGGGGGCTTCCAAGACTCTTTCAGGAACCTGAGATGTCAAAACAATTTTCATAATAAAAGCTGAGGTGTACTTTGCCTTTTTTCATTCTCATTCTCTCAGAAGCCTACAGTAAAGTTTTCCACTATTCATTAGGAAAGGCAGCAGG